GTAAAGGCCTGACAGATGTGACGGCTGCAGACAGAGGTGCATTGTGGGCCGCGAAGCCTCGGGGAGCCCCGATTACCTCGTGTTTGCTAAAGCACGTGCAGCTCGCTAACCACGGGTCACCTATACAGACGTCCGCGGGTCCAGCCAATGAGGTCATTTCCTGTGCTGCAGGAAAACATGCCAAAAACCGCGCACACACACTCAAACGTTTACACACCCTCCGAAAAAACAGACTGATATCCATCCAACAGCATCTTCAATGAAGTCTGAGAAAAATGGGCATTTTTATAACACACATGTGGCATGTTTTATTTTAATTGTTGCTGAAGTTTTGGACATTTGTTTTTTCTCATAAATTTTGCAGTGTTATGTCCATATATGGTGTTTTCAATTTTCTTTTCATTTTTGACGTTTTTTGAGCATTTTTTATTGTTTTTTTGTGGTAAAATATTAGTTCATTAGTTGATGTCTTTACTAACATGATAAAAAAGTATGAACAATATAATTATTATAGTATTTATTTACCTTTGTTAATGGAAATAAAGTCGTTTATTGTTTTTTTTATATTTAATATATTTGTTTTATGTTTATAAATATAGGTTTATAGTTATTTTGCTTTCAGTTTAAAATGTTTAATATAAAGTTTTAATGAATGTATTTATTTGCTTTTGTCATTTTTCGCTTTATATAATATTGTCTAAATCAGTTTTCATATTACACTTTTGTCAGTTTCATTCGCTTTTAAAGTTGTTTAGTCTGATTTTTGTTAATCATGTAAGTTTAGTAAATTTTGCAAGATAGTTATTTCATGAGGAATATCGTTATTGATATTGTTAACATTGTTGTTTATGGATACTGTTAATACTATCGTTATTATTAACACTATCGTTAGTACTGTTAACACTGTCGTTATCGATACCCTTAACACTATCATTATCAATAAGGTTAACACTATAGATACCAATACCGTTAACACTATTGTTATCAAAACCAATAACACTATTGATATCATTACCAGTAACACTATCGTTATTATTACCACCATCGTTATTAGTACTGTTAACACTATCGCTATTGAAACCCTTAACACTATAGTTATCTTTACTGTTAACACTATCGATACCAATACCGTTAATGCTGTTATTATTAAAACCAATAACACTATTGTTATCATTACCAGTAACACTATCGTCATTATTACCACTATCGTTATTAGTACTGTTAACACTATCGCTATTGAAACCCTTAACACTATCGTTATCTTTACCGTTAACTCTATCGATACCAATACCGTTAACGCTATTGTTATAAAAACCAATAACACTATTATTATCATTACTGGTAACATTATCATTATTATTAATACTATCGTTATTTGTACTGTTAACACTATCGTTATTGATACCCTTAACACTATCGTTATCATTACCGTTAACATTATAATTATCGATACCGTTAACACTACTGTTATCAAAACCATCAACACTATCGGTATTATTAACACTATCGTTATTAGTACTGTTAACAGTATCGTTATTGATACCCTTAACACTATCGTTATCATTACCGTTAACATTATTATTATCGATACCGTTAACACTACTGTTATCAAAACCATCAACACTATCGGTATTATTAACACTATCGTTATTAGTACTGTTAACAGTATCGTTATTGATACCCTTAACACTATCGTTATCATTACCGTTAACATTATAATTATCGATACCGTTAACACTACTGTTATCAAAACCATCAACACTATCGGTATTATTAACATTATCACTATTAGTACTGTTAACAGTATCGTTATTGATACCCTTAACACTATCATTACCGTTAACATTATAATTATCGATACCGTTAACACTACTGTTATCAAAACCATCAACACTATCGGTATTATTAACACTATCGTTATTAGTACTGTTAACAGTATCGTTATTGATACCCTTAACACTATCGTTATCATTACCGTTAACATTATAATTATCGATACTGTTAACACTACTGTTATCAAAACCATCAACACTATCGGTATTATTAACATTATCGTTATTAGTACTGTTAACAGTATCCTTATTGATACCGTTAAGACAATTGTTATTGATATCGTTAACACTATCGTTTTTGATACACTCTCAGAAATAAGGGTACAAGAGCCGTCCCTGGGGTGGCACCTTTTCAAAAGGTACACATTTGTACTTAAAGGGTCCATATTGGTAACTCAAAAGTATATATTAGTAATATATTGTGTATATAATATTGTGTTTACACACATATTTACATATAATTTGTATTGATTTGTATTAGATATAAATATTTAATTCAAAATATACTAAATAACATTTTCTCAATTATATATATATATATATTTTATTTTTTAAAAACAGTTGTTTTTTAAGTAACAAAAATGGTTTAATATTGGTTTTAGATTGCCGTTGACTGTGAATTGTTAATTAAAAACGTTTTAACTTTTACCCTCTCATCTCTTAAAAGGGATTCGCTGATGTCAGGCGGAGATGAAAGCAATAATAGCTACATATTTACATATTTTCAGACTGCTAAGTAGTCCTAATGCCGCTGTTTAGACAGAAGAGCAGCGTCTGGATGAGGAACATCAGCCTCTAACAAACGCCCATCAGATACCAACAATTGTGCTGAAATCATCTGAATCCAATTTTCATTCGCTGCATTTTTCATACACAGACTCTGTTCTGTCCTGAGTGATTGTGTCTGCAACCGGAGAACTGGCATTTCGGGAAAATGAATCTCCACAAAAAATGTCTGCTAGAAAATGAAGATGAAAATAAGCTTTTGTTGGCCTGGTTAAAATTGCTTTATTTCTACCAGGAATTCAGACTGGCAGATGCTGATATTGGAAACACCACAAACAAGAATATAAAATACTATAGTAATTACTACAGTGTGGTTTTTGAAGTAAAAGTATTATATTATGGCATTTATAACTATTAAAAAAAATGAATACTACAATATTAATTACAGTGAACTAATAAACTGTAATAGATGCTGTAGTATACTTTAGTGTTTACTACGTTAAACTGTGGTGTATGATATACCCTATAATTGGATTGGGTGATTTGTTTACATTGCTATAGTTGTCGACTTGCCATAGCAATTGAAAAATCACCAACAGATGCAACAGATAAGTTCAAGTACTTTAATTTAGTATGGGTTAAAAATACTACACTATTTACTATGAATTTCTGTGGTATTTTTTCATGCAAGAGTTTCATATCATTAACACTATCATGTTGTTAACACTGTCGTTAGCGATATCATTAACACTTTTGTTATCGATACCGATAACACTATCGTTATTGAAATAGTTACCATTATCATTATCGTTATTATTGTTATCTATTTTGTTAACACTATCGTTATTAATGTCATTAACATGATCGTTATCAATATTGTTAACACTATCGTCATCGGATACCGTTAATACTTTCTTTATTGATACGGTTAACACAATCGTTGTCGGATACTGTTAACAATATATTTATCGTATTACTACCGTTAACTATCGTTATCAATATCGTTAACACTATCAATATCGGATATCGTTAAAACTATCGTTATCGATACCATCAACACTGTCGTTATCTGATATTGTTAACACTATAATTGTCTGATATTGTTAACACTATCATTATTGATATCGTTAACACTATAGTTATCTGATACCGTTGACACTATAGTTATCGGATACCGTTAACACTTTAGTTATCGATACCATTAACACTGTCATTATCTGATATCGATAACACTTTCTTTATTGGATACCGTTAACACTATCATTATCGATACTGTTAATACTGTCATTATCGATACCATTAACACCGTCGTTGTCGGATACTGTTAACACTATCATTATCGTTAACAATATCATTATCTATAACATTAACACTGTCTTAATCTGATATCATTAACAATATCGTATTAATATAAGATTATTAACTATATTGTTATCAATATCGTTAACACTATCAATATCGGATATAGTTTACACTATCAATATCGGATACCGTTAACACTATCGTTATTGATACCATCAACACTGTCGTTATCTGATATTGTTAACACTATAATTGTCTGATATTGTTAACACTATCATTATTGATATCGTTAACACTATAGTTATCTGATACCGTTAACACTATATTTATCGATACTATTAACACTTTTATTATCTGATATCGATAACACTATCGTTAACTGATATCATTAACACTATCGTTATCGGATACCATTAACACTATTGTTAGTGAGTGAGTGTCTGCAGCAATATGGCGATGCGCAAAACAAATCTCCTGTCAAGGACAATAAAGTTTTACTACCAATACTACTACTACTTATCAATACCATTAACAAAGGGTTATCTGATTTTGTTAACACTTTCTTTATTGGATACCGTTAACACTATCATTATCAATGCTGTTAACTCTGTCGTTATCTTAAATCATTAATACTATTGTTATCAAGGCGTTAACAGTATCATTATCTGATATTGTCAACACTATTGTTATCGTTAACACTATCATTTTCGGAAATTGTTAACACTATCATTATCGGATATCGTTAACACTTTCAGTATCGGTACCGTTAACACTGTTGTTATCTGAAACCGTTAACACTGTTGTTATCTGATATCGTTAACACTGTCGTTATAAATATCGTTAATACTATTATTATCTGATACCGTTAACACTTTAGTTTTTGACATCGTTAACACTACCGTTATCGAATACCAATAACACTATCGTACGTTATGTATGCAGGAAAAGGATTGCATACTGAAAGCATGGCTAAATCAAATGAATAGTAATTTAGACAAATATTCGAATAAAATGTGGATCAAATAGAGGTTTTGAATGCATCATCGTCATGCAAACATATGTTAGACCCAGGGATGGTGCATTATTACGTTTTTATTGTGTTTAATGTATTATAATGGCCTGTGTTGTATTTGTGTTCAGTCCAGTCCTGCAGCGTCAGATGTATGAATGGTGGGATGTGTAATGAAGACGCCTGCTCCTGTCAGAAGGGATACACAGGAACTCACTGTGGACAACGTAAGACTCATTTATAGCACTTTTGTTATGCATTTAATAATATATTTAAATTTATGGACCCACAAAACTAGTGCTGTCAAATGATGCATTTCAAAGTCAAAATAAAAGTTTGTATGTACTGCAGTGGGCGACCATGTGAGAGCTATAGCTGGCTATAATTTATTGGCACAGCCCTATATTTATATAGAAAATATGTATACCTAATGCAAATGATTTAATAATGACAATTTTAGTTTTGTAAATGTTTGTATTTTCTGTGTGTTTCTGTTTGTTCTGTATAATTATAAATCATTAAAATAAAGTTAACAAGTCATTTATAACTCGTTAACTAACAGCTTGTCTGTTATCTGTATCTGTTATCTATAAGGCAAAGTTATAAATAAGAAACAAACTATTAACTTTTATTTAACAAATCGTTTATAACACATTAACTAACCGTTTATCAATGGACTATAAACTAGTTATAACAAATAGTTATTCGAAAGTGTTACCAAATAAAACCTCCCAACCGCATCAGAGAAGCCTGATAGAAAATGCTCATTTACAAGAAAAGAGGTCTGATGAATTTAGAGGGTTTTGCATCTGAACTCTTCATAAATTATATGAGAGACTTGCTTTGTTTGCCAAATAAGTGGATTTAGATGGAATTGCATTGTAAACATGAAATAAAAGTTAAAAAGGTATTATTTCTCATTTCATATATTAAAGATCCCCTATTTTGCATTGAAAAAGGTCATATTTTAGTTTTAGGGGTCTTCAACAACAGGCTGATATGCGTGCAAGGTCAAAACACACTTTCATTGTCTTATAATATGCTTTTTTTATGCATTTACCGAACAATCCCAGCGGCTCCCATATGAATCGTTCAGCGATTAATTTGTTCCCAAACCCCTCCTTAGCACGAGGCTAATCTGCGCTGATTGGACCGATGGCCCAGTCTGTTGCGATTGGTCGTCAGCGTTCAGCACAAGACAGAAGGAAATTTAATTTACTTAATTAAATAGTTAGTTAGTTAATTAATCTACACAGTGGCAAAAAATTTTAATCGGTAATTTAAATAATTTAATTGAAAATCGGTAAAGGAAGAAGCACGCGTCGCATTTTTAACGTGGATTTGGACGCGATATGTGAACAGCCCCATACAGATTTAACCTGAGAGATACAGTACAAGCACTGATCTATAATAGATAGGGGATTACAAGCCACGCTGAGCAATTACAAGTTACAACACAAAATTAAACACATATTTTGTAAACTACACAAAACGAGGCAACAATTTTAACGACACTTACATGTCATGATCTGGAGGAAGAAGAAGCTGGTTCGTATGAACTGTAAAAGTTACTGACAAAGTCCCTGTCAAAGTCTGACAAAGTCCCATAGTCTCTGCTGCTCCTTCAATAGCAAAATCCCGGCGAATCCTGCGTTGCAATCCTAGGTTGTTGTATCAAAAATCAGAAAACTGACAGGAAGAAACACAGCACTAAGTCGGCTATAATGTGGTGTTGTTGTGAAAGTGAACTTTAGCCCTTTACTCCCCGCAGCCAGGGCTAGTGCGTCCATAGAGGTGACCTAGGCAGAATAGAGAGAGGGCGTCGGCGACATCTCCTCACTTTCGTCTGTGATAATATCGCCCACCGCCCCGGTTCTCGCTGTCGTACGCGCAATCACACGCTTTTGCCTAGAGCACCAGTTCAGTTTGCTCCGGCCCTGCCCGCACCCGAATCTCTGTCAGTGGTCGTCATCTTCGCGTCATGATCAGTCCCGTGATCCCCCGCACCAATGCTAGTGTGTGGAGGGAAAGCACGTGCACATTTTAACAGAACTGTAAGTACATATTGTGAGATGTACCGTATCGACGTCGATGTGATCCAACATATCATGCGAACCCTACTCGATTCATTTATTCGAGTCAAATATTTTGCTTCAGAATCAATAGTTTTAAACATGCTGCACTTTTAGATTTAAACCTCAGCTGGGCGTTTTCATTCAATTAGAGCTGTGTTACACACTGCATGGAAGCTTATTTTCAAAAACCCATAATAGGGGCTTATTTACACTCTTAAAAGAAACGGTTTTATATAGAACCAAAAATGGTTCTATCAAGCATTTCATATATGGAACCCCAAAACAGTTCTAAATAGAACCATCACAAGTGTTCATTAAATAGAACCCCAATTGGTTCTTCGAATTCAGGTTAGATGGTTCTATTTAGAACCATTTAAGGGTTCTTTATTTAGGTAGCAGTGCAGCACTCGTGCCCGCACCGAGTCTGTGTACGCGTGGCAGGCCAGAGTCACGGTGGCAGGCTAGATTGACCATCAGGCCACAGGGAAAGGTCCCGGTTCTCCCTATGGCCAGTCAGTCCCTGGATATTATTAAAACCTTTTAAAGCCAAACATATTTTAATAATCCATAGATGAAAGATCAGGTGTTATTTATAAAGGACACAAAAATGCTGGCTAAATGTATTTGAAATATTAAACCTTTAAGTATATATATATATATATATACTTAAAGGTTTAATATTTCAAATACATTTAGCCAGCATTTTTGTGTCCTTTATAAATAACGTATATATATATATATATATATATATATATATATATAAATATATATATATATATATATATATATATATATATATATATATATATATATATAAGTATATATATATACTTAAAGGTTTATTGTGTAAATGATGAAGCTGTGGTGGACTTCTCCTTTCGAAAAATTAACCGTCACTCTCGAGGCTCTTCGCCACCTGTCCACGTCGATGATTATTAGTTTTAAATAAATTATTAAATCATAAAAACATGGTACTGCACAGTCTAAATAAATAAACCGGTTATTTTATTTATTTCACAAAATAATTTGTTAAAACTATTAAATATTAAGTATATATAAAATATAAGTTATATGCTAATGTGCAAACCTGAATGAAAAAAATCCCACCATACTGTACACTGATAAAGTTTTTGACCACAGCATTCATTTTATTAGGTTTTGACTCAAAAAGCTTTGTATATCTGTGTTAAAGCTTATAATTATTTTTCTTTACTAGATAATTATGTTATGAATCAAAAACTATAGAACCATTTTAATCAAAAAGGGTCTTTGCACTCAAAGGGTTCTAAATGGAACCATATTTTTTGGGTAAAATGTTCTACTGGCCAAGTATAGAACCCCAAGGTTCTATATAGAACCTCTAGGAACCTTTTTTTTTTTTAGAGTGTAGGTTATGATACTCCCAAAATAATTCTGCATAAATCCGCAGATTTATTACAAAATTCTTCGCAGAAATAGCTAAAAATGTCTGCAGATTCTGTCTGGGCCTGCCTTCAGCTGAAGAAAACTACATGATTGGGTTATTTGTTTATATTACTATAGTCGTTGTGTTACCAATGCTACACTAACATTACCTCAAAAATGAGATCACAAATTAAACAAATATCCCAAGCAAGCAATGTCTCAATGTCAAATTTCTAAAGTCTAATCTTGTGTAAATTTTTCAGCGGTGTGCGAGAGCGGATGTCAGAACGGCGGCCGCTGCATCGGACCCAACAGATGTGCCTGCGTTTACGGTTTCACCGGGCCGCAGTGCGAGAGAGGTGAGTTCATATTTACTCAATCCATAATTGTGTTGACGTCTGCGAGGATGTGCGGTTTGTTTACCGTCTCGGGGCTCCTTCAAGAATGCAGCGTGTCAGTGTGACCCAGAAACCCTCGCAAGGCTAATTTACAGTTTCGGAGTTCACCGAAGCTAGTGTGAAATTAATGCTACAGTTTACATTGTGGCCACATCTCTCAGAGCAGGAACAATGAGGTAATCTGGGGCCGGGGAGGATAAAAAAAAAAAAAAGCATGGCTGCCCGAGACGTTTTATCAGAGGTGAAATCCCTGGCTGGAGTTATGAGAAAATGACAGACTGAAAGGAGCGTAAAGGCAGTTCCCATCAGGCCGTGTGAACTGTGGGAGAGAAGCGCCTCAGGCCCTCCAGACCGAATACCTTAGCACATTTTTTTTCGGCACCCCACCCTCGCGTGTCTGGATCTTTCTGCAGTCCCACCCCTTCACGAAGCCCCCTTGTGCAATCCTTCCCTTTGAAAGCCCAACGTGGGGAGGTGGAAAGGTTCGGGAGACATCTGGCAGTAGATAAAGCAGGGTGGAAATGACAAGGGAACGTTTCTGTGTGGAGCCGTAGACTTTCCTGACAAGAAAAAGGTCGTTTTTGGTGGTGGTGGTGGTGGCCGAGGGGGGTTGTTCTGCAAGAAATGGAGACCCCAGCTGTGTATACACAGCCAGGCCTGAAGTAGTACAAACAATCTCTTCACACGGAGAGTGCCGTCTAGGCCCACCTCCCAATAGGTCCTTCATGGGTCGCCTGATTAGGGATGCGTTTACTAAACAACTGCGTACAATAAGGGTTAAAGGTGCTGCGTGTACACTTCTAAAGCTTACAAATACCATGACATGATTGCAGATATTTACGAAACATTCATGCTAGTTACTTAGGAATAGAGTCGGAATGGCTGTCTTTGGTTTTGGTTTCTATAACCAGCCCACTGCCAGTTTACACAATTATATTATAACACTTCGAGTTGCCTTAGTGGACAATAGTGTGTTTCATTATAGCTATAAAGGCTGTCTCCATCCAAAAATGTGACCTTCAGAGGACAGTAGCAGTCTCTGAAATGAGACGCAGATTCAAATACACATGAGGTGGTGGCAAGTAATACTAATATAACACGCGTAAACATTAGTTGAGCAGATTAAATCGTGATGATCGGTCGTCAGGCACGTCAGGCTTATGTTAGTGTGGTCAATCTGGCATCCCGCATGTGCGTTAAGTCATTTGAGGGGGGCCAGGTGAAAAAACCTTATACAATGAGTTTGGACTGCAATCCTACGTACTACACATTTAACATGATGGCTACTTAGAGCTGAAGCCATAGGGCCTACACAAAAATGAGGCACTTGATTGGCTGAAAAATTCGTTCGCACCATTTCATCAGGAAAATGTATAGATAATGTGAAGTATTTGGTTCAGCCCGCTGGTGTTCAAAACATTGACGTCACTATACCGGGGCTGCGGGTGACTGTTGCCCAATCAGAATTTTAAACAGCCCCGTATTAGCACCCAATAGACTGATTTCACGCGGCCGCCATTTTCAAAAGCGAAATCGAGGCTGCGGAGGGAAGAAACCCGGAAGTATCATTGGGAGTTACATCGTTAGTGTAACTGGCTATATAGCTTATCAGCGAAGAGAAAGTGACACAAATTTATAATTTCTCCTCCTTCCGGGTGACCCGAAGGTCCGTTCTGAATGAATGGTGAATGTAATAAGGGATATTAGAGCTCATTTTCAGCTAAGTTAAGGGAGATGGCACTAGATAGCTAACGTTTTCTTTTCCAAACACACGTTTTAGATGCCATTTATCAAACTAGAGTTAATAAACTGATTCTTTCACTTTATTGGACTTGTTACGATACTAAATTAAAAGAAAAAATGGCAATTTCACGCTAACATTTAAGGCACTGTTGATGGCTTTCTTAAAACAGCGCTGATTTGCCATTGTGTTCACGTGTTCAACAGAAATGATTGTGATTGGTCGAGAAGGTCATCAGTTCACCCACCGCTGTATACTGAGCACAAACACAGACAGACGAGCGATCTGCTTGATGACTCAACTGATCTTGACGGCTGCTCCGCGCTCCAGTCCGTGTATCTGTGCTTGCACTGGGTGAAAAGCGGTAACCTGAGTGCAAACCAAACACAGAAACACGGAGACTGAAGCGCGAAGCCGTGAAGATCAGTCGAGTCATCCGCGCTCAGCAGCGCTTCCATATTAGCGGGAAATAGCCGGGTTTAAAACTTCAGCAAGGGGACAAAACTATTAACTGTTACAGACAACACATAGGATGTGCAACAGAGGACTGCAGTGTTATCACTCACCAGGTTACATAGACTGAAGCAGGAAAGCGTCCTCACGGTGTTTAACTAGTGCCATGAACTGAAGCCCAGGAGGACACTTAAGCGCATCACTGAGATTGTGATCTTGTTTGATGCTAAATTGCTTTTAATTGTTTAAAATAAACTTACTGAATGATATTGAAGTAATGTTTACACCATTTCTGCATTTTAAAAATCACAGCAACAGCCGGAGGTTTGTAGTACACAGCATGTTCCTGGAATGTTTACAGTGCTGGACCTATACTTTCAGGTTTCTTCCCACCGCAGCCTCGCTTTGGTTCTTTAAAATGGCGGCCGCGTGAAATAAGCGTATGGAATGAAGAAACTTTTCAGATATTGTGAGGTATTTGGTTCAGTTCCCTGGTATTTAAACAGTGACTGCACTATACCGGGGCTATGGGTCACTGTTGCCCATTCAGATTTTTAAATAGCCCTGTATTAGCATCCAATAGAGTGAAGAACCTTTTTTTTTTTCCTCAGGACAGTTTTATATTTTAGCTCCACCACAAAAATTAAGCTCATCATTGAACGAAAATGACCAATCAAACACTATTGATTGCTATTATCTTAATGAGTTTAATTGTTATTTGGTTACATTTATAATATTGAAATTAAGTGCTATTTTCGATGTTATAGAACCCAATGGACTTTAAGTAATATAAATGTAATAAAGACAGGTGTCCGTAGTGCAATTTTTACTGCAAATAAACACAAGAATGCCACAAATAGTAAAAAAAAAAAGCCTCAGTGAAGTCAAGCCTCAGAATTTAGGAAAAAAATGTGAAATCCTGGAGGGACTGAGTAAATCCTGGAGACAGACTCTTTATTTAGCCTGTCCCAGTCAAGCCTGTTTATCATCACTCGACTGCATTTCACACACTTGATGAACTTCCAAATAATGATGCAGCTTCAGGGAAAAAAAGGCCCGATGTTAGTCTCACTCTTCAGTTCTTACAAAAAAAACAACACAACCGTCTTCCAAGAAAGAGGTGGTAACAAAGAAACTGGATCCTGAAGAGACACAATAGTTGGCTGGCATTTTTGGAAAGTCTCTGAAAGATCGTCTGCAGGACATAACGCAAGCTCAGCTGTGAGCCGGGCACGCTTTAAAGAGGGAGTTATGCAGTGTGAACGGCTTTCCATTTAGCCACGTGTGTCCTGCGTTATCACTTACCAGGGACCACACTGAAGAAAACTATGCGTAGTAGTATTCATTTAACAGGTCAAGGATGACTTTGTCAAGGCTGCATCAGTTTTGTTTGATGTGCTGTGTGCCAATTCTTACATTACGTCCTAAAAGTGTCAAATTTCTTGGTAAATAAAAGGTACACACTTTAAATGAGTATGCAAGCTTTGGGACAAACTACTTTCTCATATATAGATCATTATGTTGCTTAGTTACGTCCCCTGTCAATCATCTTTGATCAGCGGTGCGTTTACACAACTTCGTACAGTAAGGATTAAGGAGTTTTTGGCTCTACTAAAAGCATTAAAATACCATGATATACTTGCAAACATTTAGGAAATACTTTTGTTTATCTGAAAAACAACATGCCAAATACACCTTGTTATCAATCATCAGCTAAGGCCCCGTTTACACTAGTGCGTTTTAGTTTTAAAACGGCGTTTTAGATCAAAAACGATCCGCGTCCACAATAGCGCTTTAATTAGCGTTTCTGAACATATTTCGGTCCACACTACGCCACCAAAAACGTATATCACGTGACCATTCGCGCACTCTGGGCATACGCGTTCTAGTATAAACAGAAAGCATGCGTCTCGCTCGGCATTTGGTTATTGTTAGTCAACAAACGCCGGTTGAACAATGAACGCGATGGCAAAGAAAGCAAGAGAGGTGTTTTTGTGGACAGACAACGAGGTCGAGTTGTTACTTAACGTAACAAACAAAGAACTGCACAATGGCGCCTAAAACAGACAATATTGCAAACAACGCTCCCATTTCTGTGTCCATGTTATTGTTTACAGTGAAGGCTGGTCTGCTGTCTTTCCGTAGCGTTAAAGCCATGTGTTATAGTCATGTGATAGGGGCTTGACGAATAAGGGAAGGATACGCAGTGACAGAAAAGCCCCAATCAGGGAGCGAATCTCAGCAGCCCCGCCTCCGTTTTCAGATGTCTCCGTTTTCCCTTATCCACACTGAGACGGAGCAGCAGCATTTTAGAAAGAAAACGGCCTCTCCAGCGTTTCCAAAACGCTCCCTTTTCAGCGCTCAAAAACTCCGGCGTAGTGTGGATGGATGGCGTAACCGTAGCAAAACTTATGCGTTTTCAAACTAAAACACATTAGTGTAAACGGGGCCTAAGTGTTAACTTTTGAATGCTATTTAGAAAAAATAGTATACAAATTGGGGTGTAGCAGTGTTTCTTTTTTTGCTGTTGTTGTACTGGATTCTCTTTAAAAAAAATAAAAAAAAGGATTTCCCAGCAATAAAACGTGACTAATCTTCCTGTGACCGCAAGAGTATGAATGAAGGACTGAGGACTCACTGTGTGTGCTCATTTGGGAGTCATAAACCCTTGAAACCTTGGCTTGTTGGATGTGTGTGACCGAGATAAGATGTGACCAGATTGCAGGTCTCAGTTAGCCGTACAGTAAATCACAGAGTAGTAAAACAG